CCAGCACTGCAGGGGGGTCTCCCCAGAGTGGGGCAGAGGGGCAGGATCCCCTCCCTGCCCTGCTGCCCACGCTGCTTTGGATCATAGAGTCATTAAATCATTCTGGTTGGAAGAGGCTTTTAAGATCATCAAGTCCAGCCATTCCCCCAGTACTGCCAGGTCCCCACTGACCCATGTCCCTCAGCATCACATCTCCATGGCTTGGAAACCCCTCCAGGAACCGGGACTCCACCACTGCCCTGGGCAGCCTGGCACAGCCCTGGACAACCCTCAGGGGCAAGAAATTGTTCTTCTAAGTCCAACCTCAACCCGCCCTGGTGTAACTTGAGGCTTTTTCCTCTTGTTCTATCAATGTAGCCCAGGATGTAATTGGCTTCTGGGCTGCAAGCACACATCATGGGAAATGGGGAAATGCATCCACAAAGCTTTCTGCATCACCACTGGCACCTCTCTACCACACAACTTCAACTTCATGTGTTTTCAGCACATGAACTTTGGCCCAGGGCTCTTCTGAGACCTTAAGAATTTACTTCAGTTAATTGCACTAATTGTGCTTAGGCTCCTGAGGCTGAACGTGTCCTCAGCTCCCTCAGTCTCACAAAAACAGGACCTCAAAGCTGTCCAACAATGCTTGGTGTGTTGAGTGTTGGAACTGCACCCTGCAACCTCTGACAGATGCCTGGTAGAAAGCGAACTTTGCTGTTTACTCTCGCCCAGTAACTCTTCTTTGAATCCTCTTGTACTCGTTATTCCAAGAGCATCTTTGAAACAAGTCCTACAGTCCTTTTCCAATGTCTGTTTAAAAGCTTCAGCATGTTTTCTTTAGAATTTTGGATAATTTATGTTCAGAAGGGACCTCCAGAGGCCACCTAGTCCAAAGCCCTGCTCAAAGGGAAATGCCACCGCTCGTTTTTATCCCCCACTTATTAGCTCTTCAGTTTTCAGTGAAGAAATTAACCCTAAATCTAACTATGGGCTCCTCAGTGATTTGTGATGAAAAGCATCATTAACACGCCCTCCATTACAGGTTTTGGCAGACGTTCTAGCAATAGTTCATCTGCCAGCCACAAGTACTCACTTTAAATCAGATTTCTTCTGCACTAAAAAATCCTTCCCGGGTTAGCCTGCACAAATATGTCATTTTAATTGATCTCCATCCAACAAGCTTTTTGTCTGAAAAATTCCACTTACAACTTTTAATTTTTGCCTTCAGAGCTGGATACAAAAAAACTTTAACCCCTCTGAGTCCAAAAGAGACAAAGAACGGTGTGAAAAACTCTAAGAAAAGAGGAGATACAAAGAAAACCCAACAAGTTGGGCAGGGCAGAGGGTGGGAAAGAAGATTTATGCTCCTTTCTGGTGATGCCTCCTATCAGAGCTATAATGAGATGCCAAATATCACCAATTTTTTTTTTTAATTGCTACTTAGGGAATAAAAAGAAAACAAAAAAGATATTTCCACTATCCCTCGGGATTTTCCTTTTCAACTCCAGCAGGCTGGTCCCTGAGCACAACAGTTTCTGAAAATACCCAGGCATGTTACAAAGCACTTACTCATGGCAGCTTTTCCAAAGAAGTTGTTCATTATGTTGCCCTTTGCTGGTGGTTTGCTGCTTGCTGTGGACACCTAGGAGCAAACAGAGGAGTAACCACAGGAATTATTCATGTAACTCAGGCCACAAAGTGTGTAGTGCTGCTCGTGGGCAAGAGAAACGAATCTCTGTTCTTTGTTGACGAGTCAGTGTCTCAGATTTCAGTACCTTTTAGGAGAATTTGAAGACACTAGATGCTCCGTGCATCAAAGGCTTGGGAGTAAGTTACTCAGGGCTCTTTAGCTAGACCTTCAAATCTAACTTGGGTCCCATTCCCATCTGATGGCTGACAGTGTTACTGAAATAAGCGGTTAAGTTTTGGGGCAGTTCCCAGTCAAGAACTGTTTTTTTTTGCAAACTATCAGTGCCTCAATTCACAGGAACCGACAGAGGAAAGAACAAGGATTGGCCAAACCATGAAGACTTTATCCAGCTCCTCTGGCATGTACGTTGTTCTGCTGAGCTGTTTGTAGAAAATAGCACTGCTCTGTGCCATTAATGTAGCCACCAAAGTGAGAAGTCACACGCACAAAAATTCTCACTCATTTTTTTTGAGACATCACAAAAAAAAAAACAAACCCTCACCTAAGGAAGCTCGGCCTTCTAATATCATTTCTTGTTGTGCACAAAAAGGCAATCAGACACCAAATGTCCCAAAACACTCAGATGTATTTTACCAGTTCTAAATTCACTATAAAAGTCAGAAAAGTGAACCAAAATGTACTCAGCTGTTAGGAAAAAGCCAAACCATAAGCAGGGAACGTTACCATTTTAATGCCCACTTACTGGTCACATTGCTTTAAAAGCAATTACCTCAATTAAAATGGAAACCTAATCCTGTCCTGGAAAAAAAACTCCAGCTGAGAAGATAAACAATTTAGTCTCGTGCAGGTCAAGCTCTGAAACTTTCCTCACAGACAAAGTTTAAACACCTTGATCCTTTTAAGACCTGGACTTCTCACATTTCAGTTATTGCTCAAAACAAATCCTTTTAAGCACAGTGGAGGGAGCAGGACCCACCACTGGTGTAAATACTGGCAGGACTGGAGAAAATGGAACAACTGTCTGTATAAAGCAGCTATGCTGGTTTATACCCACTGGAGATATGGGGCTGGAGAGTCCAGCCAAGGCTGTGAAGATGTTGAGGGGCCTGGAGCTCTTGTGAGACACCACCTCGAATACTGTGGCCAGTTCTGGTGTCCCCACCATCAAAGGGACAGAGAGCTATAGGAAGGAGTCCAGAGGAGGCCACAAAGAGGATCCAGGAGCTGGAGCATCTCTCTATGAGGTTGGTCAGACTGGAGAAGAGAAGACTCCAGGAGGACCTTAGAACTGCCTTCCAATACCTGAAGGGAACCTACAGGAAGGCTGGAGAGGGACTTTCCCAAGAGTGTCCAGTGACAAGGGGAAATGGTTTCTAAACTGAAGGGGAGCAGGTTTAGACTGGACCTCGGGAAGAAGCTCTTCAGCATGAGGGTGGAGAGACTCTGGACTAGCTTGCCTAGAGAGATTGTGGAGGTCTCCTCCCTGGAGGTGTTCAAGGCCAGGTTAGATGAGGCCTTGAGCAACCTGGTCTAGCTGAAAGGCATCTCTGGCCATGGCAGGGAGGTTGGATGAGATGATCTCTAGGGTCCCTTCCAACCTAAAACATTCTATGATTCTATGATCTCTGTGCCAGGACAGGCTGAGAGCCCTGGGGCTGTTGAGCTGCAGAAGAGAAGCCTCAGAGGGGATCTGATCAAGGCTGAGCAAGAACTAAAGGGCCCCAGGGGACAAGAGGCTGGGGCCAGACTCTTGTCAGTGGTGCCCAGCAACAGGACAAGGGGCAGTGGGCACCAACTGGAACCCAGGAGGTTTCACCTGAACAGGAGGAGAAACTTCTTTGGTGTGAGGGTGGCTGAGCCTGGAGCAGGCTGCCCAGAGAGGCTGTGGAGTCTCCTGCTCTGGAGAGATCCCAAACCTGCCTGGATGTGATCCTGGGCACCTTGCTGTGAGAAGCCTGCTGGAGCAGAGGGGTTGGAGGAGATGATCTCCAGAGGTCCCTTCCAACCCTTTCCACACTGGAATTCTGTGGCTCAAAGAGAAATGTCAAAGCATCAAAGCTTCAGCACATGTACTTCCGTGGACAGATCAGGTGTGTGGCACGATCCATTTTTGCCCCAGGTGACTGGCAGAAGACCTGTCTGGACTGGATGGTTCAATAGCTCCAGACCAGTGGCTGAGAGGTCCCAGGGGACAACGTGGAAGCAGCGCCCGAGGCCACACCATGGGGCAGGGGTTATGTAGGAGGAGTAAGAGCAGAGCTAGAACAACTCATGAAGCTACTGTGAATGCAGAGAGCTGCCAAAGGCTCTGAGGTAACTTACCCCTGGGGCCTCCTTGGCCTCCCCCTTCCTGTCTTTGCTGGTGTCCTGG